GTTCAAAAGGAACATCCCTGCTCCAACCCAGATGTCACCTGTCTTAGAGCGCAGTTCTTATATGGATGATATCGCACATGGCGCACCAACTTGAGATGCATCGTGCGCTGACTTGGATGCTTTGCTATATAGGCTGCGGTATTGGAATATTTCAGTAAGTCTGCCGAAGAGCGAGTTCGGGAAATTGTCTATCCCGTATTTGTCACATGAGATTAGCGCTGAAGGAATCAGGGCAAAACCGAAGATCGCTAAGGGTGTTCAGGATTTACGTTTTCCAACGACAATGAAGGGAGTGCAATCTTTCTTGGGCAGCCTGAATTATTATCACAAATTCATCGAAGACTATCCTGTGATTGCTGCCTCCCTCTATGAACTCTCGGATGACCAAGTACGTTCAGGGCGAGATCTAGGCAAAGCAGGCGTTCGAAATCCTGAAACACAAGATCGTGTCGACCCCAGTATTGAGGCACCTTGACAGGAACAAACCATTCGTTATTATACCCCATGCAAATCAATGGGCTGCCTGTGCGTTCCTGGGTCAAGAAAATGATGGTTTGATCCAGCCAGTGCGCTTTACGGGGCGTGTTCTCCACGACGCGGAGTTGAGATACCACATCGCAGAAAAGGAGACCATCGCCGTGTTGAGGCTGCTACAGGTGTTCAGAACACTCATTCAGGGTTGTCCTCTCATCGTGTACACTAGACACTCGGTTCTGAAGTGGATCATGAAATCCAAGACGGCAGATGGGAGATGTGTACCATGGGGCGTTTTACTTTCGCAGTGGAACCTGGACGTCAGGAAGATCCAGCGAGACGATGATGGCTTAGCTGCCATCCTGGGCGCCGGCATCACACCTCGAGAGCATTTGGACGAAGTCGCCGAGGAGCTCATCCCTGTCAAATAGCGTGCGAAACCGCCACCGATAATTAGCGTGGAGATGTTGGAAGATACCTTTGAGGTTGTCGTGTTAAGCTTCGATGGCACCGCTAAGATGTCTACTAGACAAGGTAGCTGTGGGTGTATTTTATGGGAACTCCCTGGATGGAAAATCTTGGATGCACAGGGTTTCATCCTGGAAGATGTCACTGTGAATGACGCCGAGTACTTTGGACTCCTGAATGGTTTAACCTTGGTGCAGGCCAGGGGCGTCAGAGACCTGATCGCTGTGGGTGACTCACGGATTGTCATTCAGCAAGAGCAGGGTCTGATCAACTGTAATCAGCCTAACTTACAAA